CCAGACTGGCAGCAGCCGCGACTGCTGCAGGACCCAGGGAGGGAGGCAGGGCCGGACCTGCAGTGGATGCGGCTGCTGCGGGACCCAGGGAGCAAGGCAGGGCCAGACCAGTAACTCGAGGGTGGGTGGCACCGCGAGATTTTGAATCGTGGGCTGGGCTTCTAGTAGATTTATAAGTCCAGGAAGTGCAGAGAGTCCCAAACAAGAAAAGCCCAAAGTTGCCCACATCAAGACACATTATAATTAAAGTGGCAAAGTTTAAAGACAAAGAGAGAATCTTAAAAGCAGTTAGTTACCTACAAGGGAGCGCCCATACAACTGTCAGCTCATTTCTTCACAGAAACTTTGCAGGCCAGAAGGGAGTGGCAAGAAATATTCAAAGTGATGAAAAGCAAGGACCTACAACCAAGACTAGTCTACACAGGAAAGCTATCAGTTAAAATTGAAGGTTAGATAAAGAGCTTCACAGACAAGAATAAGCAAAAGGACTTCATCACCACCAAATCAGTGTCACATGAAATGTTGAAGGGTCTTTAAGAAGAAAAAAATTAAAAATATAACAATAAAATGGCAATAAATCTGTATCAACAATTGAATATAAAAAATCAAAATAAATGAGCAAGGAACCTAATGAACAAAATAAACTGATGAATAAAATATAACCAAAGGCATGGAAACATGGAACAGACTGGCAAATCTCAGAGTGAAGAGGGTTGGAGGATGGAAAGAAATTAGCCAAAGAACTTATATGTATACTAGAGGCCCAGTGCAAGAATTCGGCATGGGCGGGGTCTGGCCAGCCCGCCCCAATGGGGGCACATCGGGCCAGTTTGGCAGGAGGGAGGGGCCCCCAATCGGGGTGTTGGGGGCCAATAGGGGGCTGGGCCGACCCGGGTGGGGGGGGCAGTTGGGGCCCAGATCAGTCTGGTTGGCTGCTGCAGTGCGCATCATAGCCACCGCTTGTTCTGGTTTTCTGCTGTTCCTGTTGCTGGGCTTTTATATATATAGACTAGAGGCCCCATACACAAAATTTGTGCACAAGGATGGGGGGGGTGGTGTCCCTCAGCCCAGTCTGCACCCTCTCCAGTCAAGGACTCCACAGGTATTGGGGTAAACTGGCAGTCAGACATCCCTCTTGCAATCCGGGACCACTGGCTCCTATCCACTCACCTGCCTGCCTGCCTGATTGCCCCTAACTAGTCTGCCTGCCTGCCTGATCGCCCCTAACCACTCTGCCTGCTTGTCTGATGCCCCTAACTACTCCTCTGTCTGCATGATCACTCCTAACCGCCTCTGCCTGCCTACCTGATTGCCCCTACCCGCCTCTGCCTGCCTGCCTGAGCACCCCTAACTGCTCCCCTGCCTACCTGATTGCCCCTAACAACCTCTGCCTGCCTGCCCAATCGCCCCTAACTGCTCTCCCCTGCCGGCCTGATCGCCCCTTCCTGCTCCCTTGCTGGCCTGATTGCCCCCTAACTGCTCCCCTGCCAGCCTGATCGCCCCTAACTGCCTCTGCCTCAGCCCTCACCACCATGGCTTTGTTCAGAAGGACGTCCAGAAGATGTCTGATCTATCCTGTCTAATTAGCATATTACTCTTTTATTATTATAAATATGCATTATCCATGGACACAGATAATAGGGTGGTGAAGGCCTGGGGTGAGGTGCAGGATCTGGGTAGATTGGGGCAATGAAGGGGGAGGGGGTTAAGAGGGGGCATCAGTAATACTCTCAACAATAAAGATTTTTTTTAAAGAAGTAAAATTTTAAACAAGATCATATCATAATCGTTTTTGTAAACTATTTTTTATTTAACATACAGAATTCTGCAATATAAATTACCACAAACTTAGCAGCTTATAACAACACATACTTATTACCTAAGCGTTTTTGTTGCCAGACTGAAATCCAGTGTTGTCCAGGTTGCAGTCTCATCAGAGGGTTGACTGGGGAAACATCTGCTTTCAAGCTCCCTCAGGTTATTGGCAGGATTCATTTCCTTGCAGCCAGAAACTGAGGTTCCTGTTTTCTAGCTGCTCTCAGCTCTTAGAGGCCCCTTTCATTCCTTGCCATGAATGAGGTCCTCTCCATAGCCCCTCTCACACCATGGCAGATTCTTCAAAGCCATCAATTGGACATCCCCCGAGGGCTCCCAGACTGCGAGAGGGTGCAGGTTGGGCTGAGGGAGTCCCCCCACCCCAAGTGCACAAATTTATGTGCACTGGGCCTCTAGTATATGATAAACCCTCAGCCAATATTATCCTATCTAATAAAAGAGTAATATGCAAAGTAAGCGTCACTCCGTGACAAAGATGGCGGTGCCCATAGCGGCGGGGCAGGATGCTGGTGGCATCACCCTGGCAACGTGAGCCCAGCAGGCATTGCCTCGGTGACCCGCGAGCAGGTTGTGCGGCCCTCGAGCAGGCAAGCACGGCCCGCAGGCAGTCCCCAGCAGGGCCTGATCCCAGGTCGCTGCAGTGATCCGCAAGCAGGCAAGCGCGGCCCACAGGCAGCACCCCGCCCTGGCCACAGCTCAAGGGAGAGAACAACACGCAGGCGAGGACAGGAGCCTGAGAGATCAACACAGAGGGGCGCCTACTCCAAGCCTCTGTGGTGTGGCTGGGGCCAGGCCCCCAGTGGACACACACACACACACACACACACACACACACACAGGGCGACTGCTCTGAGCCTCCTACGCGGCTGGGGGCAGGTCCCCAGAGGGGACACACACACTCACACAAACACACACACACACACACACACACACACACATGGCGTGCCTGCTCTGAACCTCGATGTGGCTGGGGCAGGCCCCCAGCGGACACACACACACACACACTCACAGACACACACACATACACACACACACAGGGCGCCTGCTCCGAGCCTCTGCTGCCAGACTGTGGCCGTCAGTAGGACATCCACTGAGGGCTCCCAGACTGTGAGAGGGGGCAGGCTGGGCTGAGGGACCCCCACCCCCAAGTGCACGAATTTCTTGCACCGGGCCTCTAGTCTTATATAACAAAAGCCTAATATGCTAAGTGTCCAGACGTCCAGTCAGCAGTTCAACCAATCAAAATGTAATATGCTAATGATATGCTAAGGCTACTTACCACTTGCTATTACGTGCACTGACCACCAGGGGGCAGACATTCAATGCAGGAACTGCCCCCTGGAGGTCAGTGCACTCCCACAGGGGGAGCTCTGCTTAGCCAGAAGCCCTGAGCCAGGCTCACAGCTGGCGAGTGCAGTGGTGGTGGCGGGAGCCTCTCCCGCCTCCATGGCAGCGCTAAGGATGTCCGACTGCTGGCTTAGGCCTGCTCCCTGTCAGTTGGATATCCCCTGAAGGGTCCCGGACTGTGAGAGGGTGCAGGCCAGGCTGAGGGACACCCGCTCCCCCCAGTGCACGAATTTTGTCCACCGTGCCTCTAGTACTCAATAAAACTGAAAACTTTCCCTCTAAGATCAGGAACAAGACAAGGATGTCTACTCTCACCACTCTTATTCCACATAGTGCTAGAATTCCTAGCCAGAGCAGTAAGGCAAGAGAAAGAAATAAAAGGCATCCAAATAATGAAGGAAGAAGTTAAAATGTCACTTTTTGCGGATGACATTATTCTGTACATAGAAAACCCTAAACACTCCACCAAAAAACTGTTAGAAAAAATAAACAAATACAGTCAAGTTGCAGGATACAAAATCCTCATTTTACCCTAAGTACCTCTTTCCAGGCCCTGGGAGTTAGGACTTCAACATATGGAATCTGGGAGGGGACACAACTCAGTCATAGCAGTGGTCGAGCTTAGTTTTATAGTGAACTGAGTCTATTGAAGAGACCTGACTAGAGGTCACAGTGACCTAAGAGCTAAGCAGTGGCAGCGGGTAACACGCATCACGGTGAGAAGCAAAGCCCCTGAGGTTTGGTACGGCGCAGAGGTTGCTACTTAGAGATGCGAACCATAGACTCACGGAATTTAAAATCTCCTCCAATCAGAGGGAGCCTTGGAACCCTAATGTCTTAACCCCCAGTATAGCAAAGGTTCACTATACTGTTCTCATGATAATAACTGTCTTATCAGAAATGGCTTAAAAGTAGAACGTTTATATGAAAGCAGGGTAGACTTGCTTATTTAAAACTAACACAATCTGAAAGCTGTCCACAATCCTAAAAGGAAACATTCTTGTATTTGCATTTATTATCTTCACCCTGCAAAGTATCTTCCAATTTTTGACCTCCTCCATTAATAGGTCACAGTAACTCAGTGGTCCTGTGCCATGATTTTGTAGAGCAATATATAGGTGGTTGATAAAGAATACTGTTTTGTCAGACGATTCTGTGGAAAACTTTAGGTTAAGCAAAGCAACAAGTTATTGTTTTATTCTCTATTTTTTTAAGGCTGAAAATTGTCAGAGGCTTTGTTATATCAGATGGATATATGTGTCATGATACAGGGTGGACGCTGGAGAAACAGAACTAGGAAAATGTGCCTTCTGTCCATTACAACTTAGAGTCCCACAGCTTCAAAGAACAAATTTTTAGTTAGTGTCTCCTTCATGTAAGACAGTAATACTGGGACATTTTCAAGATACACAAATAGTAGAAAAGAAACATGTACTAAATATGGTACTTGAATGGTTGTGAGACATTTAAATTTTCCCAGAAAACAATTCTTGCTCTTTATGGTTATAAGGAAAAAACATGTAGATAATTTGGGGCTAGATAAAGAACATTCGTGAAGTGATACATCTAACTTGAGAAAGTAGAAAAGAACACAGTATACATCCTCTTGGTGTTTCTCTAACACAGTGGTTCTCAGCCTTCCTAACGCCGCGACCCTTTAATACAGTTCCTCATGTTGTGGTGACCCCAACCATAAAATTATTTTCATTGCTACTTCATAACTGTAATTTTGCTACTGTTATGAATCGTAATGTAAATATCTGATATGCAGGATGTATTTTCATAGTTACAAATTGAACATAATTAAAGCATAGTGATTAATCACAAAAACAATATGTAATTATATATGTGTTTTCCGATAGTCTTAGGCAACCCCTGTGAAAGGGTCGTTCGACCCCCAAAGGGGTCGCGACCCACAGGTTGAGAACCGCTGCTCTAACAGAAAACATTGTCGAGGTTCTTTGCAATGTGCATTGCCGCGCCCCTTGTGTGGGTTCGTTCTCTCTCTCTCTCTCTCTCTCTCTCTCCAAAAAATACACTGAGGAAAGGAAATGCTATGTGGCAGGCACTATGCTAGGACTGAGGATACAATGATGAGTTAAAAGAGTAATAACTGGCCCTGACTGGCATGGCTCAACGGATAGAGCATGGGCCCACACAGGGAAGGGTCGCCGGTTAGATTCCTGGTCAAGGGCTCATACCTGGGCTTCAGGTTAGATCCTCCAGCCCCCTTCAGGGTGCATGCAGGAGGCAACCAATTGATGTGTCTCTTTCACATCAATGTTTCTCCCTTTCTCTCACCCTCCTTTCCTCCCCCCACCACACCTCCTTTCCACTCTCTCTGAAAATTAATAGAAAAAATAACCTTGGGTGAGAATTACATAAATAAATATATAAATAAATGAAAAAATTTTCCCATTCTGGTGAAGATTATAGCCTAAAATGGAAAAAGAGAACACTAATTTAAAAGACCCATATAAACAGCCATAATATTGCAACTACAACCATAACCACTGGGCTCAGCTAAGTGAGCCACTGGTGTCAGCCCTCTCTCAACCCTAAGTAAACTGTGTTCCAGGTAAAGCCTCCAGGAGGTTATATTTCGTTGATAATATCAAGGAATCACTCAGTCTCCCGCATCTGAAATTATGCAGTTTGGAATGTCAGGAACAAAAAAGGGGAGAAACCATTCAGAAGTGCAACTAACTACCCAGTCTCTCTCCTTGACTGCTGCAATAACCTCTAGTCAATCCAGTCTTCACTCCACCTCCCCGCCCATTCACAGAGCTGCCAAAGTGGTCCCTTAAATGTAAGCCTGATTTGAAACTCCCCACTCAAAATCATCCAATGGCATTCCACCTAATCATAAGTCCAAAGTCTTACCTGTGCCCCAAAGTCCTGCCTGATCGCCTCCCCTTCTCCATGTCTCCTCACCATTCTTCCCCCTTGCTTGTGGCAATCTGGCCAAACTTGCTTTTCTTCCTAGCTTTTACTCAAACACTACAGGTAAACAAAAACTCATAACTTAGTGGGCAAACAATACAAGTATATTGGGCAAAAAATTTAATAAGATACTTCACCAAAGAAGATACAAATGTCCACAGCAACAACTTTATTCTTCATTGTCCCAAACTGGAAACGACTCAAATGTCCATCCACAGGTGAATTAATAAATACATTTTTGTATATCCATATTACATAAAAGAGAATGAAATGTTAATAAACACAACATGGTTGACTCTCAAAACATGATGAGTGAAAGAAATATGGGCACTAAGTACACACTATTAAGATTCTATTTACATAAAACTTGAGAACAGGAAAAATACAGACACCGGAAGCACATCACTGGTTGCTTTTGCAGGGAGGTGGGGCTTGATCAAAAGGTGCCTGAGGGAACTTTCTGAGTAACAGAAATTTATTATCTTGATTGTGGTAGTGACTGCACAACTGGAGAGCACTGGTGGCCCTCAGGCTGGGCCCCTGCACGTCCAGGCAGGACCAGGTCCGAAGCCAGCCCAGGCTGGGCTTTCCCCTGCAGGCCCCTGCACCTGCCCCAGCCCGAGTCCCACAACTTGGACTGCGGGCCCCAGGGTCTCAGCATGGTTTTCTCCCTTGTTGCGGAGGGCAGTTTGGCCCCATACATATGTGGCTCTGTTTCTGGCCATTGGTTCTAGGATCACTTTATCACTCAGCTGAGAATTAGCCATACATGACCAACTCATTGCTGCACACACAACCGAGAATTGCCTACATAAAGTACAATCTAGGCCTTGTCCTATTCAGCCAGAATGCACAGGGATGCTCAGGGCTCACGGCAGATGGACTCTCCGAATAGCTTCTTCCCTTAGGAAGCCTCACGAGTCCCATGTGACGGGGACCATCTGACAGGAACCTTGGGAGGGTACCGCTGCTGTTCTGCCCAGTAAAGACAGGAAAGCATCGTCATTTTTTAAAAGAAAAATACATGTATAGAAAGGTAGATTCTGATACGCTCTTCTCACCCCCAAATTGACTTTCTTGTGTAATTCCTGGGGCACAGTGTACCTCATTGGAGACCTCTGCATAGGAGGAGTAATCTCACTGTTTATATTTGTTGGGCCAGTAAACAACTCTTGGTGCACCAGAATTAAGTTCATGCTTTTCTGTCTCTTTTTCTTTCTTTTTTGTGTTTTTTTTTTTTCAAATGAGGTTTAAAAAGCTCTATCATGATTTCTATTCCTTCAAGAAAAAAAATTAATACTGCTATTCAAAGAACATTTAAAACATGCATAATTTCAGAATCAAACAGAGTACTTTGTAACTGAACAAAGTTTGTTTTAAGAGAAACTTATCGTGTCATCCTTACTGTTTCATTATCCTATGTACCTGGATCTCTGCTGGACCTTAGGCAAACATTGTGGAACTACTGTATAGATAGAACACAGCAAACATGGCCAGGAGCCAGCTGCAAGTTCATCAGTGTTGTAGCATGCGACAGAATTGTATTCCTTTTTAAGGCTGAATAATATTCTATTGTAACATATACCAGTTTCTTGTCCATTTATCCATCAATGGGCATTTGGGTCTTTTTCATCTCATCACTGTTATAAATAATCCTGCAAATAATA